GGTGTGACCCCAAAAGCCTATATATATATATATATATATATATATATATATTGATCAGTTTTCGGTTTCTATGAACATATATATATCAGTTTACTGTTTCTATATACTTCCTCTACATAGATGCCAATGGCATAGAACCCTTTACCATGGTTTGAACCACTTAACTTTTAGTGAAATATCTCTCCTTAAAGGGAATTTACTGCTATTTTACTAAAGCCTTTTGAAAATGAAAAGCTTTTGCTTGATTATATCACATAATCCATTCACAAATTATTTAAAAAAATAGAAAACAATTCTTTCTGTAATTTCTGTTTGACAACCATATCCATACACATTTATTGCCATTTCCTGAGAAGTTGGCATGAAAATAAATCTTGATCTCTGGTTGAACATTTCCAGTGTTGACAATAAGTGATGACCTATTATCTAGAATGAAATATTAGGTATGCCAGTCAATTGGGAACTGGGAAATTGAGTCTGAGATGTGAATTGAAAGACCAAAGAGATGTTGTTGGAGTGCATTCGAGTCCTTCATTATAAGCATTAACAAAAGATGTAAAATACAGTTATATATGGGAGGCTAATCTCTAAAGTCAACTAATGTTACAGTACAATTTGCCCTTGAAAGTTCTTTGCAAAGGTTCCATATTGCATGGTGGCAGTCTCTTATAAAACATGATTTTTCTATAACTTTAGAACAGATGATTGATTATGCAGTAGAACATCAGATGAAATCATTGGTTTTCATTGAGAAATCATATTTATTGAAATGGTGTATTTTTAAATGCTGAAATAACATTTGGCTCAATGAAATAATCAAGGTATGGGAACTTGGAAATTGAAACAGAGAACACAATTCCAAAACGCCCATCTTAAACTTATTTCTCTGGGGTTATGTAAAGCACTGCAAGATGATTACACATAAAATAAATCCATACATAATTTGGTTCTAAGGGATATGGATAAAATTATCTGGTTGAAGGAGAAATGTAAGAGTTACAAAATGAGATTTATGATTTGGAGGCCTTGAGCCCTAAGAGCTCACTTGAATATGGATACTTCTCCAGTCTTATAAGAAATCTGACTTCTTTGAGGTGACCTTAAAAAGACTTGATTGATAAATGATATTTATTAAATTTATGAAATTTATCCAGATGAGTCAGTGATATAATTCTTGATTTCTTCTGGCTTGTTTTGTAGTCACGAAAATGCTCTTGGAAAGTAATCAGAATACCTTTGGAATTTCTGGTCAGTAACCTAGAAAAGAGATTAGAAGGCAACACCAAAAAAAATGAGTATTTTGACAAAGATTATCATAAGCTATATATGCAGATGTATAAAGTATAGAGCATACTTAGAGTGTTATATAGGCAGTCAAAATTACCTTTAAAGATATTTCAGATGAATTTCATTTTTAATGATAGAAAAATCTTAGTGTGCATTTCAGAGCAGTCTAAACTTCACTGTGAAATAACATGTTTTATTTTCTTATGGAAGGAAAATGCATAATTTGAAGTAGTTGGACGTGTCAGCTTTGAATAAACCCTGTGCCCTCAACACTGTAGGAAAAGTATATGGTGAACATTCTGAAACATAATCAGCAAACAGTAGTAGATATTTATCTTAGGAAAATAGCCCTCTTGAACACATCTGCTCTTGAGTCAGGCACTGGACTGCAAGGAAACATCCAATCTCTAAAGATAAAACAAAAATGCTGCCAGAAAAATGATGACAAATCTGGACTGCCTTTCACAGCATCTGCTAGGAGTCAGTAAACTGACTGATGATGTGTGGCCTGGATTATATTGGTCAACCATGGGCCAGCTCCTGACCAAGTTTTCAGCTCTATTGGGTTAGTAATTAGCAGAATGCAGGTAATTCTTGAAGCAAAAGGCAAATAGTTTGGGATATGCTAGGCAGTGTAATATTCTTTGTGCAGGCATTAACTTTGTTTCTCCTCAAAAAAACACTGGTTTGTAATCTGTGTTGAAACGGTTTTCCTTCATTTTTCAAAAGCTTGCATTGGCACAGACACATACACACTTGCATTCTGTGGAGGACTCCAACTGGCACATGTTACTTCATTTTCAAGGAATAAAAAATAAAAATGGAGCCACTCTCCGAGGTGCTTTGCAGGAGAAACATGGCATCAACCGTAATAGCCTCTTTTGTTACATTATTTCTCTCCCCAAACCAATAACTTCTGCTTCCCCTGAGTGCACACATCCCCTAAAACTAAGCTGGCCCATCTTTGTTCTTCACTAATCAGAGTCTTCTTAGCAGCTTATCATTGTGTTCAGACAGATTCCACTGATGATTCTGGCAAAACTGACTTTGTTTATGAAATCAGAATCCCAAAAGTAGTCTCTAGATGGGGTTTGACCTGGAATGAGGAAACCAAACTTTGTTAAGAGGTTAATTTATCTATACATATGTGGTTACTAGTAAGATAACTAGTTAGAAGATAATGAAATAAAATTTCAGTTGACAGGTAACAATCTCACAATGTTCAAATTTTATTGTTTGCTCATTAGTCCTTAATTGTTGCTTATAAGGAAAGAATGATTACTCCTCCACCTTTTTTTTTTTTGCATTTTCCTGTATCAAACCTAGGCCTTAAAACAGACAAGGCATGTCCTCTATTACTGAGTTATATCCCTGACTCTACACTTTCAGTTGTCTAAAAATATCGATTAATTTATTTTGCAAATTTATTGGGATGCTTCAAAGATATAAAATTTTTCCTGACTCCAAGTTTCAAGATTTTTTAATACAGTAGTTCATTTAATTTACAGAGTATTATAAATTGTTCATTAAATAAAATTTTTATTGAGTGGGAACCATGCAAGAAATTTTTTTAGCACAGGAGATATACCAGAAAAGGAAAAATAAGATTAAATTTAGCCTTGTAAAGATTACATTTTGTTTTCAAATGCAGAAGTAGAAAATCTCAGCGAATCCAATGCAATGCATTGAAATTCAATCCAACCCCATCTAATCTAATGTAACCTAACTCTGGTAGAAAAATGTACGCAACAAATATTCCTCTAAACTTTGAAAATGTATTGACCAGTTAGACTTTGATCATTAGTTTGACTATGTGTTGAAACAGGTCCTGCCATTGTTTGGTGGTATTCTCATTTGTTCTTGGCAAACTTCATAATGAGTTACACTGGATTATTTATAGTACATGTCCCGTAGGGATATTATTTTTTAAGATGTAAGGGGATAATGCAAACAGTCTCCTTGGTGCAGTCCTTCCCACAGAACATAAACTCCATAAAGGATTGTTATTATTGATTGTTATAGTAATGGTGATGATCATGAGTATTTCTAAACAATCATTGCAGCAATGAAGAGCCTACCTTTCTACTCAGAGTGAAAATAAGAGGAAGAACAGAGGATGCTGAAATTTTTAACTCAGGGTGCTTTCATCTGAGTCATGTATTTGGTCTGGAAAGAAATTTTCCTTTGTTATACAGGTTCAAACTAGAGTGACAGCTAATGTAGGCTGTCAAGGTTGATGACTACAGTTGTATAAATTCTTTTTCTTTGCATCTTTTCTTAAAGTCCCTGGATAGGCCTTCTGGGGGAACACAGGAATAGTGTGGGATTGAGTTTACAGAGCAACAGGACAACACAGTGCTTGAAACTGGCATTTGATATGTAAAAGGAGAGAGTTTTCTTTTATGCATTCACTACCCTTTCCATTTCTCCAAAGATAGAGATAAATTACAACTGTAAGAGAACACGACACGTATCTGTGCTAGAGCCATAGCACAGTGGGTAGGGTATTTGCCTTGCACGCAGCCAATATGATCAACCTGAGTTCGATTCCTCCACCCCTCTTGGAGACCTGGCAAGCTACCAAGTGTATCTCGCCTGCACAGCAAAGCCTGGCAAGCTCCCCGTGGCGTATTCGATATACCAAACACAGTAACAACAAAGTCTCACAATGGAGATGTTACTGGGCCCATTCGAGAAAAAAATCGATGAACAACGGAGGACAGTGACAGTGACAGAAGAGAACACAACATTCTATCACTAAGGTGCTAGAGGGGAAAGAACATAGTATAAATAACCTTGAGTTTAGATTGTATCTAGAGCAGAATTTCTCAACTGGGATCATATGACACCTTAAGGGACTCTAGGATATTCCAAGGGACCACAGGTTAAATGACATAAATTGGACAACATACATGTCTCTAAGAGCCAACTGGAAGGAAAGGGGGAGCATGGTAAAGAAACAAAGTGTAGAGGAGGCTCTAGTCTGCAAAAAGGTGGTAACTGTACTAAAGAATGTTTAGAAATTTTTACTCAATTCATGGGTATTAATCTAGATTATCAAATTGTCTTGTGTTATAGTCATTTGAATATTTGTATGATATTTAAACTTCAAAGTCCTAGATTGATTTCACACTTTCCACTAGAATAATTCTTACAACGATCCTGTCCATTGTTGTCAAGAGCAACACAATCTGGCAGATTCTATATTTGCTAATGAATAAATTTTGAGACATTAGAGGTCATAGATAGATTTCGTGTCATTTGTATTCCATAAATGAGTTATGGGCAAGGAAAAATTCACCTTTACTATGTTCTGTTAACATTATTGTTCAAGGACACAAGGAGATAGGAACCTCTCTGTGTCTGAAACTTCTCAACTATGAAATGGAAATATTTATATCTGCCCAGATATTCTTGTGAGACTGCATTGGAATAATGGTTGTGAACCCTGCAGTTGTAATGTCCCTAAAATTTTCAGAGAACTGATGACACAACTCACTTTATTCCATGCCATTTCTATCACTCTGTCTTATTTTGTCAGATCACACACAGCATTTATGCATTCGTTCTACATCTCTGCCTTCTTTCTACAAGCATTTGCAAGACCTATTTATTACTTTAATAAAAATTTTAGTTAGTTCTATGTGCCAAAAAAGTTTCAAGGTTGCTCCATAGACTCCTCAAACAGTGTTCCTCATTTGTGTTTTCCCTGAACCACTCAGACTGCATCCTCCCCATCTCATTCTGCCAGAGGAAGAGAACCGTCAAAAATGGTAAAAGACAGTTACAAAAACATCACCTAGAATTGGCTTCATTCTCATGAAAGGGTGTTCTGACTCCTTCTCATGGTTTCAGGTGCTCTACACTATCAGAGAAACTTCTCTGGTAACAAAGTATAGAAGGAATGATCCCTGAAGGTATAGTCTTCTTCCTCATTATGAACATTTTGCATTACCATATGTAGGCATTTGTATCAAACCAGCGTAGTACTCTTTGCAAACCAAACTCCACGCTTCATTCATATTTTGCCTTTCCCCCATTAATATACATTTTCTATTCTAAGTTCCCATCCAAGAAATGATAACTTCTATTTTTTCCTATTTCTTTAATATTTTCTGTTGTGAATGTCTCCTTTTTTCTGGCTATTAAAAAGGCTTATCTATTTTAGCAAGTGTTGGTCAGATATTTTGTATATTGTCCCTTAAGTTGAATTTCTAAGATGTTTTCATTTTGATTAGACTGGGATTATAGGTGTTAGAGAAAACCGAGTGGCAGAATGCTCTTCTCAGAGGATTGTCTCATGCATTGTACTATGAGTAAGATGGCTAGTTATGTTCATCTTAATATGGCTTCAGTAATGTTCACCAGGTTCTTCTTTATCAAGGTCTTTCCTTTCCCCTATCTTTCCATTGCATACTCTGCCTTTGAAAGTAAGTCACACCAGTGTATTTAGCACTCAAAGTGCTGGGAAGAGTGCCTCTCTCCTCAGCTGCCAGGTGTCTTCCTCCAATGCAGTCAGATAGCTATTGACTGAATTCACTCCATATCAATGACATCTGTTGGGGGGACATTATGGAAGTTATACACGTGTTGTGTGTGTACACATGTGTGTATGTACATAGCTGTGTGCTTTTGTGTGTGATTGATAGAACCAATCAATAAGAATAGAATTCTGGATGATGCCTTTGAGGGATTGGAACCACTGGTTCACGCCTGACCAACCTGGACCAGCAGAGAACCCTCAACCCCATGTGTACCGTGGGCATGTCAGTCCTGTTCACCATTCCAAGACTGGGGACTATTTCCAAGGACAACTTTGAGATGTTTCATTAATGTGTTGTTGAGACCATCAGGACTGTATATATGATGGAATTTTATTAAAGCCTCTGTCTGAATTTTAGGATTTTGGTAAGCAGGTGCAAAGATGTTTCCCCCTCATTGCCACCTAAACTAACCTCATTAATGTTTTCTTGCTCATCAAACTGTTATCTATCAACTGAGATGTCAGGTCTCTTTCGCAGGCTTTGTCTTTTCCCTCCCCTGGAAACTGGACCCATTCCACATTATAAACTAACATATCTGAGAGTATTGGTTTTGGAATGTAAATTAGTATGTTGATTTTAACTTCCCCAATATTTTTTCTATGTTCTTTTAACATAGAAATATAGTTTTTAAAACTCCTGGGGGCCATGCCTGGAAACTGTGTTTGGGGGTTTTGAATGAGTGAAGAGATTTGTCAAGAGAAAATTCCATGTGGAGGACTTTTAGATTGTTGTTTTAACCACAAAATGTGTTTCACTCACATTTTTAAGATGAATAGCCCAATATTGTGTAAGTGCAAAATGTTATTATTCCTAATACAAGAGTTTTATTACTTGTTTGACTCCACTGGACAAACTGAATTCTGTAACATTTGCGAATTTAAAATGTACCAAATTATCCAAACAATTTATGTTGCTTATTGGAAAGTATTAAATACTGCATTGTGTAATTTCTTCATCTATTCATAATATAAGTTTTATGAAGCTCCTAGATAATTTTTCCCTCCACTCCATAGAACTATCAATACATTCCTGCAAGCTTGACTTCTCTTGTTGCCTACAGTGACTTGGAGACTAAATAGTCTTTTCTCAAGCCTTTGCAATCAGCCCATACTCTCCTTAAAAACACTGGGTTAGCTTTTATTTTTAGTCTTCTAATACACTCTGATAAATGTTCTTCTCCTAAGGGTTTGTCAGGAGCAAGGGTGATTGATAAACTGCTCCAAAGAAAAGAAAAAAAAATGTTCTCTCTAATATCTGCCATTGTGACAGATTACATAAATAATGTTCTAAGGCTAATAGGTACTAAATGGATTTTGTATTTTAAATGTTCTCTGCATCCATTCAGGTATGAATCACTTTTATTTATCAAGATCATTATAAAGGCTGCCTTGACCTGTATAATTTAGCATATGAATATGTGAAACCAAATGGTTGTAGGCATGTGCACATGCATTATTACAGAATTGTTTATTCTGAAAGCTCATAAATTATCACCCCATGTGAAAATTATTGTCACATAAATGAAAAGATTTCTCCTTGGTCTTCAGCATTAGCTGCTTACAATGATGGCAGATGAGTAGGACATCCACTGTTCACTCTTTGAGCTTAATTCTTTTCACCTATATTTTAGTGTGGATTCATTTCTTTAATCTCAATTACTTAATTTTACCTCTTCCCTTACCCTTATTGCTGTTGTGATGCTTAGGGGTTAAATACTTGATTGTAGATGGCATGTAAAAGTTGATACATGGCATTTATTATTTACTATATTTTACATATATTTGATTCTCAATTGATCATCAAAATTTGTGTAAAATGCCATACATTTCCAAATAAAGATTCTGAGTCATAGAGTTTAAATATCTTCCTCAATATAAAACAGTTTGCAAATAAAAAAAATAAATTAGCCCCAAAGCTCTAGCTCTAAATCACTTACTCTACACCTTCAGTCACTCTACTGTCTCTTACATGTCATCTCAGAGCCTATCATGTGACCAAAAGAAGAAAAGTACAATTTGAGAAGACATTGAGTTAAGTTTTGGGATCTTATTTCTTATTTCTCTCAGTATTTGTATTACAAACCATAATGCCTCAAACTAGAGATAGAGTAAAAGTGAAAGTGCCTGCCATAAAGGCAGGGGGATGGGTGAGCTGGGGGTGGTGGGAGGGATACTGGTAACATTGATGGTAGGAAATGTACATTGGTGGAGTGATGAGTGTTCGATCATTGAATGACTAAAACTTAATCATGAAAGCTTTGTAACTGTATCTAATGGTAATTCAACAAAAATATTTTAATATTTGATTATTATGTTTTAATAATGGATATAAAATTGATTATTTTAATAATTGATATAAGTGGCAGGTACTAAAAACTACTTTCATAGGACCACTGAGATGGTACAAAGGTAAAACACTTGTTTATAGTCAAATCAAATTTGATCAAAGACACTACATATAATCATATAATCCCTCAAACACAGCCAAGAATGACCTCTGAGCATAGAAGCAGGAGTAATCACTGAGCATAACTAGGTGACACCCTCTACCTGCCAAAAGACCAGCTTCAATAAACAAATGAGTTATTTTTTTTGTTTCTCCTATGGAAATAAAATAAAGTAAAAAACCCGGAATTTTTAAAAAAGGACCACCCAATTAATTTTGGATTTCAGATAAGAAATAATTTTTATATTTAGCATGTGCAGGGCAGTATATGTGCCATATTTTTAACAAAATAATATTCATTTTAAATTTTAATTTTAAATTTTTGGGACATCACATATTAGAAATGCCTTGTTCTCCACTGACTTCAGAAGAAAATCCAAACAATTTAATTTGCCCTATAATTAATGAGTTGCTTACTTCTTACTTCTATAACGTCTTCTATCACTCCCCATTTAGACTTTGTGTTCCACCCATTCTTGAATATATTTAGTTCCTTCCATAACCTTCTATTTATCTATATTTAATTGTTTTGCCTAAGTATTATACAGCCAGGTTTATCTGAGGTAGTTATTCTTGTCTTACATTCATTCAATAGACAAGTTGCCAGTAAGACAGAATCATTTGGGTCTTTAACATCTTGATAAAAATTCTGTTACTAAAGAATGTTATTTTATCTTCAGACCATCTTTCAACTAAGTCTAGTAAGACAATATTAGATGTCAGTCCTTTGAAGTTTGATTTAGTAGCAACTATGCTTTGCTGTTTTCAGTATTCTTATTATACTTCATATTAATTGCCTGCTCATTTGTTTCTCTTCCTCTAGATTTCAGACTCTTTGAAGGCAGAAGTCACAACTATCTTTCGTATCATTGCTTCCTTATTGTATGACCAATACATGGACTAATCTTAAAAAAAGAGCATTTGATCTCTACAGTGTAATTATGGAGAAAGAATCTTCTTGAATACTTAGCTGATTCAACAAACAAGCAGCTGATGATAAAGAATGATTAAAGGTCTATTGATGCAAGTCTACATTCTGTACATTTTCTTCATATAAAATCTACTTTTTCAAAAGAATATAACATGAGAGATAAGTTCATTCTATTTGTTCAAGTTATAATATACATAATGAAATCTATTCAGAAATAGCACCAATTTGACTTGGACCAATAGTGCACAAAATTATGTTTTTAATTATTCCATTAATTAATTATGATTATATAACTTATTCATCAATTTATATAATTTTATATTGAGATGTCTCTTGCCTAGTTGATTCTGTCTCGTTCTTGACTACCTTTTTATAATGTATGAGACCACAGTAGAACTAGATGTGTAGTACCTAATTATGACTATTCAAGGAATGTTAGCAATTCTCTTGAGAAATCTCTCCCCAGAATCTAGACTAGTAAGCATAAAATCATTGTAAAACCATTTTTCACAGACAGCTATCTTAACAATCAGTACTATGTACAGGCCTAATATAGGTCTGGTATCTATCACATAGCTTGCTGAATATGAAATATGTCCAAACTCTTGCTTATAGAGGTCAAGTTCCATCCAATTCAACATGAATTTTTTTAACCATGAATTTATTCTCCAAATCGTAGATCAGTGGAAAACATTCTTGAAGTTCCATTCTGCAGAGTAGTACTGGGTTTTGTAGCCAAGGATTGCTCTGAAGAATTTATGTTTTTGTTATTCTCTACATTCCCTTTACAATCTTTGTAAAATGGTATTAAAATAATACTTACTTTTTTGTAGAGTGGTGTTTCAGGTTCCTAATTATTTAAAGATATTTTAGTTTCTGCCAAATTTATTAGGAAACAATGATTGTATTTTTAAATGCCTATGTGATTTCTTTCATCTCGTATGTGAGAAAACAGACATATGCAAACACACACACACACAGTGACACACACCCTTGCTGTAGGAAAT